TTATTGAGATGTCGAAATACTATTGTCAGGTTTGCCAAGCGCCCATATGCTGCAGCAGTTTTTTGAATGATATGTGCCTCAGAGGACATGCTCGGTATAATGCTTATCCAGTGATCCTTTTCTTTAAGTGAAGTTTACAGCCTTTGCTCTCCTAACATGTACTCCGTCTGCGGTCTTCTTTGTCCTTCCACAATCTTCATGACTTTGCACTTGCTTGGGTTAAACTCCAGGAGCCATATATCTTTTATTTCTTAGTCCTGGGAAAGTAATAAAAATATGTAACTTCTCAAAGGTAAAGTCATGAGTAGTAAAATATGATCAGTAAAACGTGGATAATAGAAACAAATCTTTGACTCCCTCTTCCCTCCTGTGTGAGTCTCTCTCTCTCTCTCTCTCTCTCTCATCGTCTCTGTTATAACAATAACAGGTAAATTATTACTATGAAGAACAACATATTTTCCACATTTAATAGTTTACATTAAACTTGTTAATCAAACACGTTTAACAATAAACTTTAACAAAGCTTCACTGTTAAACAAGACAAAACAGTTTATAATGTTTCTTACAGATGGTAAATACGTCACAAGTAATCTTTAAGATATCTGTTAAGTGTACCGCAGGTAAGACAACACAAGACATTATCTTCATTCATAAATTAAACAAGATAGTGGCACCAATGTTCCTCTGGGATGGAACTCTGATGTAAACTGAGATACATTATATGGTAAACACATAAAGGAACTTTGCTATACACAGAGAAACTTTTCCAGGTCGTCACAGATAATTAATGCATCTCACTTAGTAAGACAGTGATAGACAAAAACTATTTATAATGACCTATAGTTTAATCCTTTAAACTTATATATATTTTGTTTAAAACTTCTAGTCGTAAAAACGTTTAAACTTAATTATATTTTATTTACATAATTTAATGGTAAGAAACAATGTCGTCAGTGTAAGGGGACTTAACTATTTTATTAGAAGATAATATTTAAAAAAAACGATAGTTATAGAGGCAATTAAAGTGTTTTAAAGTGAAGAATAGTGCGTTTATTGTCCATATTTTTCTATAAGTATCATTTTTCCTTACACATACATCCTAATTTTTCAACGTGTGAAACATCTCATTATATTATACATTCATGGTATTAAATTATTATTATTACATCCTAATTGCAAGGACATTAAATTATACATTTGCATCACCATTAAATCTTACTTCACGTAATCAGTTTACTTGATTATAATAGTGAGATAGTTGAAAGTTGTCACTTTAAAATATGTCATTGTAACTCCATCCTTGGTGCAACAACTTAAAACTATTGTATTTTATATATCATAATTAAAGAAAATATTTAAATAGTTCATTTATAACAGTTTTTAATTGTATTTTATAATTTTTAGTTCATAACAGAATCTTAATTAATAAAAATTACCTCACAAGAAAAAATTTTCTTTCAACTATATTTAATAAACTTGTTATCTAATATTTAGAGAATTTAAGTTTCTAAACTGTAATAAACTCGACTCCTCAGAAAACATCTTCGTGGGAGAATTATACTTAATCGACTTTGGTGACTGTGTGTCATGAACTTCCAAATATATTTGTACATTATCACCCGTGTCTAACAGAAAGAGATGTCTAACCCAGACACACTCACCATATTCTTAGATTCACTTCTGTGTGTATTCATTAGTATCCAGAGCAACATTTCTCTCTGCTCCACAGATACGCTGCTCTGGTAAGGAAGAATTAATTTTCTTAACACTGTTTCAGTTCATAAAACTCACTGTTGTTGTATATTAAGACTTCTGTTTATAAGATTCGTTGATAAAGAATTTTGTTACACAATCTTAGTAACTGAAGACTTCACCGACGAGTGTTTACCTGGGGTTTACCTGGAGAGGGTTTCGGGGGTCAACGTCCCCGCGGTTCGGTCTGAGACCAGGCCTCATGGTGGATCAGGGTCTGATCAACCAGGCTGTTACTGCTGGCCGCACACCAGTTGACGTACGAACCACAGCCCGGTTGGTCAGGTACTAACTTTAGGTGCCTGTCCAGTGCCTTCTTAAAGACAGCCAGGGGTCTATTGGCAATCCCCCTTATGTATGCTGGGAGGCAGTTGAACAGTCTTGGCACCTGACACTTGTTGTGTTGTCTCTCAGTGTACTCGTGGCGCCCCGGCTTTTCTTCGGGGAATGTTGCGTCTCCTGCCGAGTTTTTTGCTTTCATAGGGAGTGATTTTCGTGTGCAGGTTTGATCCACACTCATCACCATCAACTTCCTAATAAAACTCTCGCTCTTAATTTTAAACATTCTCTTAAGCCGTAACAAACAAGCAAAACATAGAACGTATTATTACACTCATAATTATCTATTCATCATAGAGTCACTGGGGATTTCAATGCCAGTCAGAAGTGATCGACGGAGATTCTGTTAGTTCATACTTTAGATATATTCCAAAAGTTGGAAATACTTGTTTATAGGCGAAATAAAATATTATGTTCGTTAAATTAAAGAATTTTTAATATTTTATAGCTTAAGTTTGCAACTTTCGGATTACCGTGAGACTCTCACTAACTCAAATTAAAAAAAAATCCATCTTACCAAAATATAAAGAACAATTACCT